CATTAGAGCGGTCAGACTGCTTTATTACTTGTTCAGTTGACACTTGCTGTACAATCGGACTGTTTTTAGGGTAAAATTAGTTATTTGGGGTAACACGTGCATGCAACCTTTAAATAAGTTCGTGGCTTGTAAATAGTTCGTCATTACTCAGCGTAAATGGCTTTTCATTAAAAATTACTCAGCGACGCATCTTTAAAATGGCCGGCGACGCTTTGGGCTTAAAAATCCATATATTGGCAACGCTGCATCCACCATCTGCATAGTGGCAATAACGAAACGTCACAAAATGTTGCCATATTTATTTAAAAGCCTTTAGAATGCAAACCTACCAAATCCCTATATTCCGTCACTGTGTGTGGCAATATTCGGCACGTGGTGAGGCGTATTCCGTCCGCGCTTCAAATTCTACTGATACGTAATGCCGTCATCCACGTGTTTGAATTCCAGTCGCTGTGTGAGCTGTATTGGAATACAACACGGCTTTGAATCAGAACACTAATGAATATTGAACACTACTTAATTACGCTTTTAATTAACAACTTTTAAGCTTTCAATTAAGCAAATTTTAATTTTTGTACACAGCTTGGAACGATCTGTGTGTGTCCAATTCAAGTTGTGATGGAATTAGTTTTCATGTGTCTAAATCCATTTCTCAACTTAATCATCTATTCATTTATTTACCACTTGAAATCAGCGAATACAAGTATACTTAAAGGATTCCTAATATATTCACAGTCTCACAGACGTATTTAAAAGTCTCAAACCATAATAGCCCTATTCTTCCTATACAAACAGTTATTCACTATTTGGTAGAGCAAGGTCAACTGTCAAATTTGACACATTTTTCGATGATCTCACTGGGTAGCGTGCATCGTCTCTCTTTGGATCTCAATATTTTCCCGCTAGATGGCCAAGACCTAGTGTTTTGGCATTAGTTCGACGCGCAAATGCATGACATCACCATTTCAACCATCAACAAACGCATGGAACTATAACAAAGCTTAATATAAAAGAAAAACTAGAGAGGTGACGGAATTACCCACGATGTCAGAATATACCGCGTTTACCCTATACGAGTCCTATTTCTAGTGCATTGCACGCTCGACAACGTAGAAGCAATTTTCCCTCTCTCTTGATACTCGGATGATTTTTTCAAAATTGTGCGTATTGTTGACTCGGGAAACCCTAGGTCTTAACCGATCTTTGTTTTTTGATTCACCATTATCAAAACGCTTAAATATTTCAAGCTTAGTCTCCAAAGTGATATGTATTTTTACGTTTAAGTGTTCCCTTTTTGTCCATAATTATGATGGTAATTTATCAAGGAAAATTATGTAGTTTGATAAAAATTAGCAGTAGATATGGCAGCGATCTTGACCAGTTGAAGGCTAACGAGTAACTAGAGCACCGGCATGGCGCACTTACCGGCAAATGTTGCCGAACTCGACCATTCAAGTTATGAACGAGACAAGGCGCGGTTAAACCGACTCTGTAGTCAGCACGAGTGCCTACGGAATGGGACCTTATTTAAAGAATTATTGGCTGAAATTCATAAAGTAACAACATTTGGCAAATTTTTCCAAAAGTCGTAACAAAAGTAACAACATAAGATCTAATAAGCAAAAAGTAACACTTTTGTTACGAACGTAACACCTCTGGCTAGAGGCAGGAAAATGATGCGTTGTGAAAAAAAGTCGCGCTAATCAAAACTGGCACCTCATAGATTAAGGGTAGGTTGCAAATTTCTTTTCCGCGTCAATCAAAACTGCGGTATTCAAAACCGTGCTAATCAAGGGATTGCTGTACTAGCAGAATCTGCAGCAAACGAGTTCTCAGTTAAGAAATCATATGTTTATAAATAATTTATGACCTCTAAAAAATCCCAGCAGAAAAGTGCAAAAGTGAGATTTTGGAAGAGTAGTAGCTACAGCTACCTACCTTTGCTAACGTCTGTAGCAAATAAAATATTTGCCTTATTAAGGAATTTTACTTGCATAAAAGTTGCAATGTGACTGACGGAATTTGCAGAGCTCATAGGCCTACTCCCAAAAAATGGCAGCCATTTCTGTAATATGGGGTAATATGGGATGCTCCCAGTGGACCAGCCTTACAGGCTCCCCACTGTGCAGACTGCAGAGACCAGAGAGTGGATGAATATTGCAAGATCTTTGGCGACGCTTCAGTAGCAAAATTTACGCCTTCAGAAGATCTTGCTGGCACATCTAGATTGAAATTCTTGCATTTAATATATTGTCTGTCTTTGGCCAACTATTAAGAAAAAAGTAAGGTTTCCTGTACGTTGGATGGATCGGTATGCAGTGAAGCTTGTCCGGAAATCAGTTGCAATGAGTTCCTGCCAAAAAATGTAAACAAGTTTACGATTGCTTAGTTGCGGTCACATTAGAGTGGTCAGACTGCATTATCACGTGTTCAGTTGGAACTTGCTGTACTATTAGTAGTATAGAGACCGAGCGCATGGCGCCATTTTCCATAAACAGCTTAAATCATAGGTTACCCCAATCTTACCCTCGAATATTACCAACAAAATTACCCAATTACTCCTGAATAAAACCTCCTTCAATATTATTACGAACAATTACCCTCAAATCTTACCCAACAAAATTAACTAATTACCCCTGATCCTTCAATATTATTACGAACAATTACCCCCGAATTTGTATAAACA